GCAAGACGATTTGGAACAACAAAACCCTCAGACCAAGAATCCAACGATTCAAACCAACAGCTCCACGAGTCTTTCGCATTACAAAGAAAAGAAGTGGCACCTTCCGGGGACTCAAATTCCATCAGGACATGCAGACCCCCTAAGTACTTGATCCTRTATCCGACACAGCCTCYGTCTTTCAAAAGGCCATCAATACCCCAGAGTAGAGAGGAGGAAGCGACCTTACCCACCAGAGATCGACTCAGCCGTCGCCTGGACTCAGGGGAAGAATTGAACGATAGGGGAGTAWAATCATCGACGAGAGGCGAGCCCCTAACCACATCTGCAAAAGATTTCAGCGCTTTAATTGGTCGGTTGGCCCCACCATGAGACTTCGCATCTTCTACTTTCCGAGGTGGGACTTCCCTTCCGAATCTTGCAAGATTGGCAACAACTTTTTGACCTCCAATCCACGTGTTATTGAGCTTGCCTTCGAACCCTCTAGAGTCTGAAACTCCTAAGAACCTTGCAAAACCGAATCTACTGCCTTGCTTGTTGCGTTTCTTAGCAATGTAAACATCAACTGCTTTTCCAATCCTAATGAGGATCTTCCAGATGTCTGCCTCTTTGACCTGTTTTGGGAAGTTAGTGATGTAAAAGTTGGAAGCAGTCCCTTTGAAAAGTTCTCTCCTGAAGCCCTCACTTTGATTGGTACGAATGTAGTGGTCCCTTCGAAAAATGCCTTGTCGGTCACTCTTCCTCCGACGGTGACTGACCTTCTCCCAATCTCCTTCTCCACCCATCCCTTAAGCTGAGACTTTGATGCGAAAATGAACTGGAATCTCGACCCAAGACAAACTGTCGACGACGTCTGCTAGAAACAGGCCGGAGAAGAAGTCGACCAGAAGAGGGGGCTTGTGGCGATGGCTATGGCAGCCTCAAACAACTAAACAATTTTTGCTTACAAGTTTTGCTCAATTCACAAACAATCTTCATTCAGACATTTTATCAAACAGTTGGTGTTCAAGGATAAA